GACGAAGATCGAGCATGAGGACGGACACATGGTAGCTCCAAGAGTGAAGGATCAAATGAATATGCTGGATCTATTGTAAATGCGTCTTGTGAAGGCGGCGTAGAGGGAGAGGGAAAGGTAAAGTTGAAGGCGACGCCCGCTTCCAGACTATGAGAATGAAGAATTAGTCGAATGCCCAACGAAAGGGATGTGTTTACAGTGAAGCAGGCAGGAAGCTTACGCAGACATGGTAACTTGGGAGTGGGAGGATTCAGGAATGAATATTATGAAAGAAATGCTGATTAGATGAACTCGAGTCCAGCTCCAGGAGGTATATCAATGCAAGTGGCAGGCGGTACGTGAGGTAGAGAGATACAGCGAGGCCGAGTTGAATGCGTGCGCGTCGTGAACTGAGGGCTCGAAATTCGCCCAGAGAAGCAAGAGATTATCGATTTCTTTGTTGCGACCAGCGCTTGACTAAGCATGAGAAGCAAAATGCAGTGTAATATAACGAAATGACTGGGCAATGAGAACAAGGCAGAAACCAGTTGGGTGATGCAAGGCCAGTATATGCGGCCACCTGTGGGTTAGGAGGCCTCGTGGCAAGGGAAGAAAAGAAGAGAAAGGCAGTCACGAAACGATTGGGAAACAGAAAACGAGGTGGGAAGTTGGAGGGATGATGCCGACTTCTTATTCTCGCCATGAGCCTGATGGAGGAGTAGGCATGTGCGGCTACAACATAGTCGACCGGGGGGCGTGCGTATCCAGGTATACATACATGCCGTGTGAGAGGGTAACGATTAGGCGCGCCGCACTCGGAAATCTAGTAAAAGGCGGGATAGGGAAGACAAGTGCAGAGTACTACCGCATTGGCATGGTCGCTGGTGTAGTTCAGATGGGACGCGAATAGGAAGCCGCAGCAAGGATTTAGACATGGCTCCCAAGGGACCGTCGGTGGACTCGCCACAAAACAGCCGCCTTGGCGACAGAGGTTGACAGGTGTGAAACGCGAAAGAGACCCGATGGGATAGTCTCGGTTCAATGTTGTCAGAAGACCGACACGAAAAGAAAGAAACTCTTGGCTTTTGCCCACTGGGCGCGGTGAAGAAACGTGTAAGTGGGCATCAACTCGTGAGCCCCCAGCACGGGCAAGAGATGCGATACGGGTCATTGTCATGCGCGCATTGGTGTTTCCGCGACTGATACGTGAACAAAGTGTCGACGTGTTTATACAGATCAACTGCAGGTTGGTCGTGTCCATGGATATCGACCATGGCGTACGGAGTAGATGCACATACGGAGTGCATGCTCCATGCTCCATGCTCCATCCAAACGCCTCGCACATCGAGGTGGGAGGACAAGGGCCAGGATTCCGAGGAACCGAAGCATAGTCAAGGTGAACCAGGCCATGATCAGGGCTCCACATGCACGGTTCTGGGGTTGTGCGGATTGCTGCAGGCGCCGGCCTCCTGGTTGGCCAGCTTTCTGCCGTCAATGACTCATTTTTAGATGCAGAGTCTAAACTCGCCTTTGTGCGCGTGTTGGCTCGATGCACCTAGGGCATTAAGACGTTGGGCCGTGGACAACACCATCGCGTTGCCCACGACTCGACACGTAACGACGTCTCGACGATTTCCTGACGCGTCCATCGCGTCTTGACCTCTTGTCTACTGTCTAGTGTCTACTGTCTACTGTCTCTTGTCGACGCCACGGCAACCCCAAAGGCAGCTGCACCCAAGGTGATACGGAGAGTGGCATTGACAGTGACAGCGACATTGCACTAGATTGCAGGAGGCTGAGCGAGATCCATACTGGCGGCTAAGTTATACAAAAAAAAAAAAAAAAAAAAAAAAAAAAAAAAAGGAAGAGTCTGGTAGATTAAAAAGGGAAGACGGGGGGGAAAGGGTAAGACGGCAATCCCCGGCAGCATCTTGTGCGCTGTCGGCTGCCTTCTTCCCAGCCACAAGACGGCAAGATGCTGGCCTGTATCTTGGTGCATCATGGCGGCTGCCCGCCGGCGCTTAACTACACAAGCAACCGGACTGGCCCAAAGTAGGACCTGAACGGAGAAAAGGGTCTGTCTGGTACTCCGTAGCTTGAGACCAAAAGTCTCCCAGCCGACGGGCGGCTGGGGAAATTACAGAGCCACCAAAAGCCTCTCCAGCTCGCCCTAACTGCACCGCCCCGTTTGCCTCCTGGCCCAGAGAGGTCAGAGAGTCGAGACCTTTCAATGTTGATTGTGCCTCCGGTCTGCTCATGTCGGTCTTGCGTTGTGGCGGATTATGGACCATGCCGCCTGTCAACGGCTGCAACATTGGATGCCGTGGGGGACACCGTGGAGTGACACGGCAATGACATGGAAGCACTAGACTGCTTCGTGAGACGCCAGGAAGCGCGACACCAGCCTTGCTCTGTTATTGGTCGCTTGCCACGCGCCCGTCGTTTGGCAACGCGCTCGGGAAGAAATGCCACCAAAAGGCACACGCACGTCTCTGTCGCCCTCCCGTCCGCGCCACGACGCCAACATTGAACCCTTGCAACCTTGTAATATTGGCATCCCCGTACGGAGTATGGAGGAGTTCTGCTGAACTACGGCACCAACCCCCAGCCCGTTTGGCCAGGGGCTTTCCACGGGAACCATGCTCCAGGTCCCCTGCGCCATCTCCCATCCACTGGCTGGTTTCCTCCCATCTTCAGAGTCGTTGCGGGCCTCAAGCCTTCTTCTCGCCTATCGTCGTCCCAAGTCAGCTTGCCTTTGCCGCCGACATTTGTTTCGAAACAAACCCGCTGTAGGCCGTATTCAAGGATTTGAAGGCCTCTGAGCCCATATGACGTTGCTCACCACAGCCCGCAAACTGCCTGAAACTGCCACTCTGCGTGTCCAGATGCCGACGTGCTTGAAATCGGCCATGAGCCTTATGTGCAAGCACCAGGACCTTTGCGTTGTGGAGGCGGAGGGAGGCCGTCATCGCGGAGATAAGGCACGATGCTGCGTGGTAAAGGTCATGGGCGTATGGGAGCTACCATCAAACTCTTAATCGGTTCCCGAACGCAATGCTACACGCCCTTCTTCTATTTTGGCTGGTTTGTAATAAGCTGCCAACACAGAGTGCTACGTAAAACAAAATGTACTTGGCCAAGTGACATATCTATCCCTCATGTAGTACGCTATGGTGTATTTTCCCCCAGTCAGACATGCATACATATGTCATTTGTCCCAGCATCACCGAGCACGGCTTTCTATGCCAGTATTTATAGCACTGCGAATACACCTTGACAGTTCAAGCACCGTTTTCGCTGCCATTATATCAATAGTTGCGCAGAGGCTCACGATGGTCCCCCAACACTCTTTATTGGTTAGACATCAGTTGGACGAACACCCGGTCTCTGCTTCACAAGGTTTATAAGTGGAAGAAAGACCTTGTGCTTCAAACTGTCGTCTTCGGCGCTCGTGTTTCGCGAAGTCTGAATCCACCCCAGCAAGTCTTTCCAGGCAATCCACTCCCACGACTCGCATTTATCCGGCTCCAGCAACTGAGGCTCATTGCTGTCATTCTCCCGGACGCAGACGTGAAATAGAGTAATATAGTGCTTATTGTCATCGGGCATGTAGTCATTGGTGGCTGTCAAAAACCGGATGTCAGCAACTCTGAGTCCAGTCTCCTCGAGCAGCTCGCGGGTGGCGCATTCCTCGGTCTCCTCGCCAAACTCTAGATGGCCGCCTGGAAGGGCCATTGTGCCAGCACCGTGGGAGCCCTTGCGTCGGCCGACGAGAAAGCGCGGGTTCTCCTGGTCTTCGTTCTTTGAGGCCAGCACGAAAACTGCCACCCCGGCGCGTACGTTGGGGGCGGATGTGGCCATCATGGCAAACAGTTAGGAGGACAAATGTCACTGGCTAGAAGGGGAGGGGGGGGGTTGGTAGATCCCGGTGTAGTGATGGCGATTTGGGCGAGTGAATATATCTAGGATGGATGCCTGGATTTATATAAAAGCGAGTGTTTGGTCCATCCATGGTGAATAAGGCGAGCTAGCGAATGTCAACGAACCCCGCCATTTAGTCGAAGGCCCATACATGCTACCGCAGGTACTCCGTACATGTACATGCCATTTGCTGCCTGGAAGCATTGACGAGACCCAGGGTAGGCGTCCAGCAGTCGACTGGTCTGGAAGCATTCTTGGTATTTAAGTGAAATAAATTTAGGTGCCCTTTTGCTACTAAGGATAGCCTTAAAATGACTACAAAGACTCCCATGCTTTTATCCGTTGTTCCATACAGCGACCGGAATGCACGAGCCAAATCGCTTCTCTACCTACCAAGCACCTTAGCTACCCACCCAACATTAGACAAATATCGCCCACCTTCACGTTTGGATTTGGCCACTCTCGTCACTTCACATCAAAACCACACGCCAAATCGACAAAGATATCACCAAGGGTAAAAACGCCCATGAGAACACAAGGATGAAGTGTCCAACATCACTGACTCAGCCGGCGTAGTTGGCAGAGTGCATGAAACCAGATTTCAACCGCACTACTCCCTGACAGGGAAGGAGCCAAAGAGAGAAAAGAGCCATAAGAGTCACGCCAGACAGTGGCAACTGCCGACATGGAGCACCCACAAGGTCAAGGTCATGCATACGTGTGTTCAACACACCTGGACAAAACAATATATCTGTAAACAAGAAGACCCTCATTTCATCTATGATAGCCCACCAAAGCCACCGATATATCTCAGCCAACACTAACAACGCCCCTGTGCCATAAAACCATTGTGCTCAGTAGACACACTCTCTCCCTCCCAAAGTTGGACATGACCCAGTCAAGCAACACCACGGATAATCCAGTCTACTTCTGGCGAGATGCTGATACAGAGACCGGATGGCTTTCACAATGGTACTACTGTCCTTTCACGGACGACAAGAACCCAAAAATAGTATACGAAACTGCCGAACAGTCCGTCTCCCCGGCGCGGACTCTCCACCCTACGCGAAAGATGTGCTAATTACTTCTCAAGTTACATGATGTATCATAAGGCTCTTTTGTTTAACGACCAGGCCGTGGCAGCCCAAGTTCTGGCCGCCGGCCATCCACGAAACGCAAAAGCCCTAGGCCGCCAAGTTCAGAACTTCTCAGACGAGACATGGAAAAAGCACAGGACGGCCATCGTTCGGCAGGGAAACCTCCTGAAGTTCACAGCAGCAGTTACAGAGAAAGGTTTTCGAAAGGGCACGGGCAACAACGCACCACTGATCGATGGCAGCTTGCGCGAGATGCTCCTCGCAACCGGCACCCGCGAGCTTGTAGAGGCCAGCCCGTCCGATAAGATCTGGGGGATCGGCTGCAAGGCAGCAGATGCAGAACGCCGTAGGGCCTATTGGGGTCTCAACTTGCTGGGCAAAGCCTTGATGGAGGTGAGGTCGTTACTGAGAGAGCAGACGCCACAGACGTGAGCCCTTCTGCAACAATTTGTCTGTGTTGGCGAGCATGCATTGCTATTCAGAGATGGAACCAGAAAGAGCTTGTTTTTTGATGTGCGCTATGTGAAAGAAACTATGTATGGATTCCCTGTTATTGCTGTGTCGACTACTTGTCTAACACACGACCTGCTAATTAGATGACGTACTTTGTGTTATACTTTTGTTCTTGGATATGCGGAAACATCCCTTTCTATGCCGAATACCTTCTATACCTAGTCATACATGTATACACGTCTTGCTCCCAGGCAAGACTAACAGAGCGGTGTTGTATCATCTTTCCATGACATTGGCTCTCGCCATAGTCACTGCTCTGTCCGAAGCCATTTTCACCGAATACTCTCTTTTCAGGCCATCGGTCCCCCCATGCTTTCCCCAGGGTATTAGAAAAACCTGGTACGTTGCGCGTAGGCAACAAAAATAATATACAAGATGTGACATGAATTTGCAAACTCCATCCCTTATGCCGAGAATCGGAAACAAAACTGTGGCCGGATCTGCTGCAACTCGTACCGACTTCATTTTAATGCCACTCCCTTCCGCTCTTTTGCATTTCAATCAAACGCCAACCTCGGGTTTCGGGATTGTTTACGTCTTCCGGAACTCGAGTAATGCCGATAGCGTATGTAACCAGCTGCACCTTGTCTTCCATCCCCGCAGCAAGCTCATTGGACTTTGCATTGCGATACACATGGACCTCTTGGGTGCGGCAAGTGATAATAAACACAGGCACCTCACCAGGATCGAGCATTCTGGCTCGGAGAATATCAACATTTCGAATATCAAGGATGCGGCCGTCAGACTTCATGCCCGCCTGAAGATACTGCTTAGTCAACGCCTCATAGACTGAAAATTGTGCCGCTGACAGCCATAGCTTCAATGTTTCCGTATCACCCTTGACATATGCATCAAGAACTTCTGGGAGGATATATTCTCGGAGTTCTTGCAGGAAGGGCTCGACCTGGAAGGCGGGATCCATGGATCGGAACTTCTTGATCACCAAGGCAGTCTCGTTCTCGGCAAAGAAACCTCCAATTCGGTCAGTTATGCTTCGAGCGGTTGATACCAGAGGATTCTCAGATTCCTCATATCGGCCTTTCATGGTAAAAATTCCCTGGACGAACTTGTTGCTGTCGCGGAAATCTCTCCAAGCCTCCTTCCAAGCGGCGTCTTTGTGAAGCGTGATATTAGTTCCCGCACTAGTTTACATTGATACGTCAGTAATTAAACAGCCAAGTGTCAAGAGTGAATGTGTAAGCTTCTTACTTTGGATCTTCCTCCATTACTTGAGAAGAGGCACCATTTTGCTGTTCCATCATTGCTCTCCTCTTCCTGCGCTCCTCCTTCTCCACCCATCCGCCATATCTGGAGGAGCTTCCGTCGTCGATAACATTCTTCACATTTTGGTAGGCTTCGGTGTCGCGGATGGGCTTGGTGGCTTTGTCCACAGCATCGCCCGTGACATTGGCTGCCTTTCGGACACCCTTCATTACCGAGGTATCCCAGGTCCAAGAAGCACCCTTTCCAATCGCCCCAGCGGTGGATTTAACAGCCTTAGCGGTGGTGGATGTAATGGCACCAGTCGACTTTTCATAAGCCTCACGAGCCCGGCGAACCGATTCGCTCTCAGTAAATTGATGGGCAGCGGCGCCGATCTGCTTTGTTGATTCATTCCATTCTTTCGATGCTTGAAACTCGGTGTTCATAGTTTCCATGAATACCTGCCAGGGAGTTTTGTCGCCGTGAGGCGGCGGCGGAGGCATATCTTCCTTCTTTTCTTTTCCATCTTCCTTGTTCTGTGACTGTTCGCCATTGTCGCCTTCGTCAGACTTCTTTGATTGTTCTTCATCAGGCTTGGTTTCCGATTCGGATTCCTTGGCGCCGGCTGAAGCAGATTTGGCCGAGTCTTTACCAGGCTTCTCATCTTGCAAACTCCTTCTGGTCACATGGAACTGTCGGCGCTGCGAAATGGCGATTGGGACAACCCGAATATTGGATGGATGAAACTGAGATCGAAGAGGAGAAAGGACAACATTCGTAGTATTTATCTTCTGATTCGCACTCCATGTGGCGAGTCGGGAAGTCTGAGAAAGATGAGAGGCTAGCCTCGTATAAGCAGGAGACCTGCTATATGAATTGGCAACATGAATAGATGCCCGGGATAGGGCATTTTCAGAATTAATAGCGCTTCGAGCGACGGAATTCATGCTGTGGAAGGTGAATGGGAAGAAGCCCACAGAGTGCGTCTTGGTGGACAAGAAGGGTTGCAGGAGAGCAATTGGGGGGCCGACAGCTTCCAGGCAAGGCGAGAATGAAATTTTGGTTTCCGCGATCTCGGCTGCAGGCGGAGGGTACAGCAGCGGTAGGTCGGAGCATCGGCAAAACCACGGCTAGCCACTTTTTTTCCTTGGGGGAGGCCCAATACAGCAGCTCTTGATGGTTCCTTCAGACTCCATGAGAAGGAAAAAATCTTGCGAATTTTGAAGCAGGCCGCATCTCTGAAGTCATTGTACTACATCCGAATGCAATGCTGGAAAAATGAGCCGGTCATTGACAAATCGCCTGTCTGTGCTGCCATTATTTCGACGGATATACGCTACGACCACGAAATGTCCTTCCCAACCATCACGAACATTGTCCCAATCGGCGGCACGATGGAACGATTCAAATGCGGACAGACCTAAACGGGTGCAGGCACGGCCCAAAACCGAAAAGCTTCTAGACAGTGTTTTGAATAACTCATCAACGTCACGGGACCGGGCGACACCCAACACCATGAGTGACCTTTCACAAAGCATGGTGTTTGATATGCTAAACAACAAGTCCAATATTGACACGAGTGCGCTTTCTGGCCAGAAGTTCGAGCCCGCCCAACGCAGAGAAGATGCTCAAGAACCCTATCATTTCCACGTCTACTCCCACAAGCACAATACGCACATCACCTGTACAAAACCGAATCGCGAGCCTATCATCTCTATGTCATGTGGAAATATTGGCTATCGAAAATCTCGACGTGGAACCTTCGACTCGGCATACTCCCTCACAAAATACGTCTTGGAACGCCTTATTCATACTGGGTGGCCAATAAAAATTCAAAGATTGGAGTTGGTGCTGCGAGGGTTTGGCCAGGGCCGAGAGGCAGCTGTGAAGGTCTTGATGAGTCCGGAAGGCAAAGTTTTGCGGGAAAAGATTGTCCGAGTCGCGGATTCCACTCGCATCAAATTTGGTGGTACTAGAAGCGAGAAACCAAGACGACTGTAAGAATATCGCGGGTGGATTAGCTGACTCGAGACGAGAAACGGGGAGGGAGGAGGGAGAATGTTAGGAATGCCACTACTGTACTATATAATTGTACAAGCGCTGTTTATATAAAAACTGTGTTAGACCTTGAGATACATCCTACCTAGCTTCCCCGCAAAAGAACGTAACAATCTCTTTCAGTGGAAAGATACCTTGGACCATGACAAATTATAAACTAATGTACCCCGGTGCCTTAAACGTCGATGCGATATATCACAGTACGCCAAGTGAAGGGCGTGACACACAGGCACGTTGGTAGGCCAAACATTTTTGCCTCACTGTAGAAAACAAAACCAGCACATGTGGTATCTTACTTTACCCGAAAACGCCGTGCCAAATGAACTTACACCAGAAATCATGCGACAGGTTGTAGCTACCGCGGGGCTCGCTCTGCTGCTGGAAGGCTTCGCCCAGAGGAATCCCGTACAACTCGTTTCCCTTTCCCGCTACCACCTCTCCGCCTCTCGTCCTCGCTATCCCACTCTACGCTAGCATCATCCCTTTCGGATAAGAAATGTGGCTCGGCCCGAGAAAGCATACGCGAAGACTCATCTGCAACGTCCTCATCGTCATCTAATAGCTCGCCGTCCGCAGTTTCGTATTCGGGTGGTTCGATCCATTCTCGAGGTACTACGCAAGGTAGAGCAACGCCGATACTCGCGGCCCTGTTGAGCCAGGCAGGGCCAGCGTTGCCAGTCAATTTTTGACATAGGAACGACGTGAAGTGGTTGCAGTTCTTGGTCAGAAGGTTGTACGATGTGCCCAGAAACTCCTCGGACGCAGCGCGCAATGCAGTATCAATCTCATCCTGAGTGGCAAGGGTAAATCCCTGCAGTATTTCGCATCGAAACGTGCCGCCAGGGGGTTCGGTCTTGGGTTTGGTCCAGTAAACACCAGTTACACCGCGCTTATCATGGCCACCATACGCATATTCTTTACCACAGATGACCACGCCGGAGTGAAGCAGCGACGCACCAATAGTCCAAAGAACCGATGAAAGTCTTCCTGGCTATTGACCAAAGATAACAATATTAGTAGTTGCAATACATAAACAACATGACGAAGTAGGTGAGGTGATTCATCGTCGGGGTAAGTACGAACTGGCAGCAGGTCGTAAACGTGGATTGTGACCTCGGTCTTTTGTAATGACAACGTCGATCTGTGTCTGCTCCCAGATTGGCCTGTGCTTTGTCGAGGCGTCGACATGTTATAGAAATGCAGTCGTCGGGCTTTGAAAGGTCAATGTGCCTTGCGAAAGACAATAGCGCCGCGAGAAGTTATTCTACTCCGAGTCACAGTCGATGCTCCGTGTTAAGTCGCACTCTTCGGCAGCATTAAATCCACTGAAACATAGGTGATAGAAACCAGCTCTTGATAGAGAAAAAGCACGAGTCAGAATGGCAGGAGGCAAGTCGCTCTTATGAGTGGAAATGGCGGAAGTGCTCACCACTTGAGCGACTTGGTGGCGGCCAACATGGAACAAAGAGCACAGTGCGGCGCCATGTGCGATTCGTAGCCGGGTCCGGAGACATGCTTGGTGTCAGCTCTCTTTGCATCTATGTACTTAGTATGTAGAGCAAGCTTGCGTGGCGGGTCCAACAGCATTTTGGAGAAATGTGTGGAGTACCCACCTACCAAGGGAAAAACACTCGCTCCGATTCCTGCCCCCAGCCCAGCTATCTGCTCCCACACACTTGAAGAGGGCGTGTGGTGGGGAGCTCTTCAAATTTCCTTCGTCGCAATTTTCCAACCCGTCTTCTTCCTCTTCCACTCCTCGCCTTTCCACTCCCCAATACGGGCGTCGTCTGTCTCCTTTTTCTTGAGCAGACGTCTATCCTTCTCCTTTCTTTCCCCCTCCGCTTAGAATTGACGGCAGAGGCTCCCTGCAGCCAGGTCGTTCACCACGACGCTCCTCATCACCTTTCCCTTTCCCTTTCCCTTTCCCTTCCCTTCTCTTATACCAACTTTTCTCCCGCGCGCAGCCAGGCCTGCAGCTCTTGGACAAGCTCCAATCGCCCGGCGCGTATCTATTATTATACCCTGTCGGTCTTTCGCCAAATCCAGAAACAAGATGCCTCCTAAGAAGGTTGTCCAGGAGGAGAAAATCCCCCTTGGCCGACCCGGAAATAACTTGAAGAGCGGAATTGTGAGATTACTTGTCCTTGGCACAGCTGGAGACTGCTATTCGTCAGTCGCTCGTCTACTAACCATGTCTTCATAGGTTGGCCTTGCAAATGTTGGCAAATCCACATTATTCCAGGCCATCACAAAATGCAATTTAGGCAACCCAGCTGTATGAGGCCCCCCCTCGTTCTTCGCCCTTGATCCGGGGTGCTGACAGCTTGCAAGAACTTCCCCTATGCCACCATTGATCCTGAAGAAGCTCGTGTCATTGTGCCCGACGCTAGATTTGACTGGCTGTGCGAGAAATATAAGCCCAAATCGCAGGTTCCTGCGAACTTGACGGTTTATGATATCGCTGGACTTACGCGCGGTTCATCCACCGGAGCTGGCCTCGGAAATGCCTTCTTGTCGCATATTCGCGCCGTAGATGCCATTTTCCAGGTTGTTCGATGCTTCGACGATGCTGAAATTATCCACATCGAGGGTGATGTTAACCCCACCCGAGACTTGGATATTATCAGCGAAGAGCTGAGACTCAAAGATATTGAGTTCGTTGAGAAGGCTCTGGAGAATCAGAAGAAGAAGACCCGCATGGGCGGTCAAAGCCTTGAGCTCAAGAAAGCTAAGCTGGAACAAGATATCATTGAAAAGATCTTGGCTTGGCTGCAGGATGGTAAGGATGTCCGCAAAGGCGTCTGGGGTCCTAAAGAGGTAAGAATTATTGCATAACTTTTTTTCGTTTCTTCTGCTGTCTTGATGTTTTTATTCATACATTCAATCCCTGCTTCTTATGATGACAAAAGGCCACTTGGCCTGATCTAATCCCAGCTCGTCGAATGCCTCGCCAAATAACGCTAGAGTGCATTGTGAGATGAAAATTACTCTGATAGGAGCCTACCTACTTTTCTTTGCACCTTGAATTGCGAAACATCTTGCTATGGTAGAAACCACTGTACTGACTCTTGTGGTATTAGGTAGAGGTTATCAACCCTCTGTTCCTATTGACGGCTAAACCCGTGGTTTATCTCGTGAATCTATCTGAAAAGGACTATGTCCGAAAGAAGAACAAGCATCTCCCAAAGATTGTTGAGTGGGTCAAGGAACATGCCACTGGCGACCCAATTATTCCTATCTCCGTTTCTTATGAAGAGCGTTTGACGCGCTTTGAGACCGAGGACGAGTCCAGGGAGGAACAAAAGAACGTTGGGGCCGAGTCGGCGCTCCCTAAGATTATCACGCAGATGCGCAAGACTCTTCAGCTGGGTAGTTTCTTCACATCAGGGGCAGATGAAGTCCGCCAATGGACCATCCGCACTGGCACCAAAGCGCCACAGGCCGCCGGTGTCATACACACAGATTTTGAGAAGACCTTTATTCAGGCCATCGTTTACAACTTCGATACGCTGAAGGAGCTGGGTGACGAAGCTGAGGTAAAGGCGAAGGGAAAGATGATGACCAAAGGCAAGGAGTATGTTGTGGAAGATGGCGATATCCTACTTATCAAGGCTGGTGCTGCTAAGGGTTGAAGTGTTTATAATATAGTCACTTGTGATTGGACCCTTTGTCGATAAAAGTTTTGGACAAAGGGAAAATGAAAAAAATCGTAAAATAATGAATGTGCTATTTATCAACCAATGTAACCTATCACCACTGCGAAAAGAGTGCGGACTGGTCAATCCGCAGTAGATTGGAGCTTGGATGTGTGGCGCAGAGAGCGGGCTTAGGTCCGCCGTGTCGGCACGGGCCATCCTACTCATGTTGTAAGCGCTGACGGCGGGGGCCAATCGGGAAAACCAAAATGGTCACATCATCCCGTCCCGTCCGTTGAACCAACCGAGAGACGGTATTGCTACTTTTCAGAAAGACTATCCGAGTTCTCTCCATCTGCGTCACCTGAGGCAACATAAGTCCGGTAATCTTTATTTCGGTACCTGGCTACCTGTATCGTACAGAGACGTGAGCTTGTCCTAGCCAAGTGCCTTGAATATCCGCCCGCTCCGCCGTCGGAAATATATCCACAGGATGGATTATGTCGGACATCGTGTTGTGCAAGAGGCTGCCAAAGAAGCCGCCAGGTATGACGCTCACCTACACTGCCTCTCCCTTACGCACAGCCCGCCACGACACATTCTTCTCCTGCCCTTCAAGCTACCTCGACTGCACTTGATTTTGTGCGGGGTACAGATCCGCACCGACCAGGCCGCTGAAACCCGAGACATAGCACAACGACGCCATTCACACCCCTCAACCTCATCCTCCTAAGCGTCCTCGTCTACACGGCAGTCTCGACCTTCTCGCGCTCCAACACGACGGCCCCGATCCCCCGCGGCCCTCCGCCCAAGGTATTCCGCACCTACACCCCGCGAACGCTGCTGCCCTTCAACGGCGAAAACGGCAACCCCATCTTCTTCGCCGTCCGCGGCCGCGTCTTCGACGTCAGCAACGGGCGCAACTTCTACGGCCCCGGCGGCCCGTACTCCAACTTTGCGGGTCGCGATGCCAGCCGCGGCCTGGCCTGCCACAGCTTCGACACGGAAATGCTGACGGAGGACCTGGACGGCCCGCTGGACAAGCTCGACGGTCTTGGACCCAGCGAGATGGACGCCTTGCAGGGCTGGGAGGAGACCTTCTCCGGGAAGTACGACATTGTTGGCAAGCTTGTGTCGGTTGCCGACTACAATGCCGGAAAGGCCGAGGGTGCGCAGTAGCGGCATGTGATGGATGGGAGAGACGGGGACTCGTGATTTTTAAAGGAATCGCCTACAGTTTGCGGCAGGGCATCTTTCCTTATCGCAAAATACTCTCCGCCGTTACAGTATGAATACTATATTGCGTGACATGCACCTTTAGCGGGGATATGAACATGTTTTCGACCCTCGCTATACCAGTCAGTTTTCATTCGGGCATGCAATGCCCCTTTCCGTGCGGTTTGTCTTGGTGATGCAATTATGTATAAAAAAGTAGAAGCGCAATGATGACCATTTGGCTTGTCCAGTAAAAGATGACTAAAAGTAGAAAAGAGAGAAAACGACTCCGATTTCGTATCAGCAGATCCCAACTCCATGCAATGCCTTTTCCCCATATCTACAAGCAAAACAGGAAAACAAGCCCTCTCTGTCGTCCAAAACAAAGTCTTTCTGCATACATGCATGTAAGCTAAAACTACTCGCTTGACCCATGAACCAAGAAGCTACGTTCAAACATGAGGCGACGAATACTAATGGGGGAAACAAAAAATTCAACGAACCCAAACATTTTTTTTAGAATCATACACAGTTCGAACCGCTGACCCGAGGCAACAAACTTCACATCTGTAAAATGGTTGCAGCCTTTCGTAATAAAGCCGCTGTTTTTGCTGTCAGTAGTCTTGCTAGTTCCCAGTCGCCTGCCTCTACTGTATCGCGAATAGCAGGGAAAAATGATGCGTCATAAGTTGACCATAACTGAGGGCCGAACACGACGTGCTTGAATTGAGTACGGTTTGGAATCTATTCAAAGTCAGCACAGTCCACCAATACAGAAGAATGAGGTACTTACACCACCGCCGAGCTCTAAATCCAGGAGCGAAGCTTCAAAAGCAGCCATCCGGTCATTATAATTGATCCGCTGGGTCCCAAGACCATTTGCTTCGTACCCGCCGCTGCTGAGAATCGAGCGATCCCATTCTAATTCCCACTTCTCAAACTCCTCAGCGTTACTCTTGACCAACTCGACGGCATCCTTGAGTTCCTGGAAAGGTATCTTTGAAGCGCCGTCCTTGGCAGTTTTTTGCTTGTTCACCCAATATTCCAGGTCATGAACCCAGTGATTGAGGCTTCGGGCATAACCAACCATGTCGAACGGCATGATGGCCCTGTCAGCCAGGTCGAGGAGCAGTAGGCCAACAACCTGGCCCATGAGTCCATGGTAGATAAAGTTCGGATCTATTACCTGCTCAACCAAATTGAAGCTTTCATAGCTGGAGCCGAAGGGCACTGGCTCTCCCTCGAACTTAAGGTCAATCGAGCTTGTACCGGCTATATCCTGGAATGGGACATAGTCGCCTCCCCCACCGAGGCCCTGCAGAGTTGCTTTGCGGCTATCCCACTGGTATTTGAGAGTCTCATTCTTGAAAGGGTCTACGACACGTTCCAGAGCTCGAATGAGGGCTCTATCCAGTGGCGGGGATCCTGCCGCTGTGAATTGGGTGCCTGTGATCGCAGCGTCTAGATTGATATAGGCGTAGGCATTCTGCCGCAATGTATCCAGGTTCATTTCAACGTATTCGGTGGACCCGACCATATTGTATTCTGCTGCATCCCAGGACATGAATTCAATAGTACGTAGGGGACGCCAGCCCCGGCTTAGCAGGTTACCAAAGATGCGAGCCAGCTCAATCATAACCGCAGTTCCAGAGTGAGGTTGGGAAGCGCCAAATGCCATGGAGTCACGATGATTGCCGAGAATGATGGAGTTTGACGTTTGTTCCATGCCTAAAATTTTGCCATAGACGTTCCATACGGGCTGTTTTTCGATCTCATCCTGCTCATTTTGTAGACGAACGACAGGTGAAGAATGGTCGCCTGTCCACCACTCATCCACTTCTGGGACACTGCCTTTCCACCCATCGGGAACCTGTTGTCCGTGGCCCTTTAATTGTTGCAGCAGAACCTTGGCGTCTCTCCAAGCAAGTGGCAAGCTGGGTATCTTCACTAGACCCGGCGCATCCTCGACAGCCATTCTCTGTTTTTCTTTTTTGCTTTCCCAGCCAGGCGTTAGAACATCACCGACTCCCATGTTCTTGAGGCTCACAGAACCCCGTTGCACACCATCCTCAGGCATCCATCGTCCCTTGGGCGCAACGTCACCCTTGACAAACCCGTTTTCGGCGGGATCGCTATAGATTAAGCAGCCAGCGAATCCAGCAAGCTCTGCTGCCTTGACTTTAAGGGCCACGTCCTTTTGGGTACCCATTTGTCGTACGAGGGCAATAGCTCCTTTTGTATCAATTCCTTCGTCTTTGAGCTTTTGAAAGTCGCCTGGAGAGCCATAATTAGCATATATAAGAGGACCCTTGACATCGCCAGACTTGGAATGGGCGTGAAAGGCGTATGTCTGTCGCCCAGCTGCTTCTCCGCCGCGTTCTTCCTCATCCAGCTTTGCAGTCCATTTAGCCGTCTTGCCATCCGTATCCATGATTTGCACGGCGCGACCGTCTTTTCGTGGATAATTGACATAAACGTAATATTTGTCAAGTTGTACCGACTCGAGCCCGGCCCGATGGAACATGCTTTCAACATCCATGGCCATTGCATAGTCTCCTTCGGTGCCAGCAATATGTGCATAGTGCGAGTAGTGCAGAACCGAAGCCCGCATACGCATGGGGTCGACATTAGACTGTAGAAAGGCTTTGAGATCTTCCGGATCGAAGCGCAGACCTCCTGGGAGACGAGTTGAGAAGCCGCTGAAGAACCCAGTGGCAAATAAGAAGTAGATGAAGCCAAGGACAATTAAAAGTGCGATAAGCCGGGCAAAGACTATAATCAATGCCATGGAGTTCATCCTGGGCCACTGCCGTGGAGTGTCGGTGCTAGTTTCAGTTTCGGCCTCGTTCTCATTACGGGTCGGTTCAGTGGCGCGTGAAGGAAGTTGGATGCGGAATCTCGGTAATCTCGGTCTCCAGGACCATTTCCATTTGGGTAGTGATAAGGAGAAACCTATTCTCTTGCTCCATACCGAGCCTATTGATGTGGATGGTTCTTCAACTTCCATCTCTTGCATTTCCCGGCGTATTTGAGCGGCCTCCTCATCGCTATCAAGCTCGCTATCACTACCCAAAAGACTGAATTCATCGTCGGTTTCTACCGTGGGCGGCCGGTATCCACGGGGTGGTTGCCTCGATGGTCCGGCGGCAGTCTCCGGCTGTCGCAGGAGTGATTGTTGTTCAACTTCGTCGGCATCGCGATTGTCTATCGATGATCTGGCAGGGTCCCAGACATAGCCGCGACGGCTTCCACTGGCCAAAGCCTCATCGTAGGTTGGAGGGACCGGATCATAGAATGGGGTCTTCTCGTCGGAAGGCATCGTGGACTAGACGCAAGAGGGTGCGCAGTCTACGGTAAGCAGCGAATCGAAAGCAGCCTGCCATGCAATACAGTTGGAACTAAACAAGTTCTACTTTGGTCGCTGGTGGGTGGGATGCGTTCTAAGTTGCGACGGGTATCTGTCTGAGTTGTGTCCGTCGGCACGGATTCGCGGCGTCGGCAACAGCGGTATCGATTACCAGGGGAATTACAATGAGCGTAAAGAAAGAAGAAAATTCAAAGAATGCGGCGCTGCTTAGGATTTAAAGGCGTCTAAAAATGCTTCATTGTAAACGATAGAGCCAAAAGCCAGTGTCGCCAGCTTGACAGGCGGCTGAAGGATGATGGCCGCGATGTTAAGGAGGCCTGGTGGTGATGTAGCTGGGTGGTTTGAATGGGTGGGCGCACATCTTTGAATGCCAGTGCTGGGCGTTCCAGCGCCGCTGCTAGTTGGACAGTAGTGTGAACCAGCACTTTGAGGCGCAGGTGTCGCGTCGCAGTTCCGTGCGTCTGGCTGGACAAGGTACTTATGAACATGTCTGGTCTGGTGTCTGCTGAGAAACATGGACATCTATTTGGACCTAGGACATACTTAAACTCAGCACTGAGGTAAGTAGTTGAGTACGTAAAGTACCTAATACGAAGACTGTCCAAATGCACCAAGGACGCCCTCAACATCAGGATTAAATATAACAATCAACTGGCATTTGGATCTCACCTCAGCGCAACATTGAATACCACCTGAAGTGCCGCAGACCTGGGCACCACGCCAAGGAGCACTAGTCCGCGAACACGTAAGTATGTACCTTTGTGGCGGTGCCAGTAAGACTCATATTGGCTTTAATCAAGATATTTGACCATCCCCAAGCACACGACAGCATGCTGCATCAATGCTTGTACAGATACCTCAGCACTCGATGTCCCAGTGCCTCTTTATCCAATGCCAAGACCCTCCACCGTGATTGAATACGTACCTACGCCAGCGTCTTGGCGGCAACAAAAACCATACGAACCAGACTCTTCACAATCCATGTCCAGTTCTGAACGAGGTGCCAAAAAGACACCGCGGCAGGCTTTGACAACCGTCTCGCCGAACGTCTTCACTCGGTTTTCTCTACTTGTGTGTACCGCCTTATGCACGGCCTGGCACTTTACAAATCGCCATTGGTGTGACTCGCGGAAGTTGCAAGGCTGCTCAGGGTGTGGGGGCGTTCAGTCTGAGACTGAACTTGCTGTTTCGACGACGCAAGGGCCCAAAGTCACGCAGTGGCATCTGCAGGAACTGATGCCTTTGTCTCGCATTCTCATCCATCATCTCATCTACTACGCGCATCTTCAGCTAGCGACAGTAGACAGCGGACCGGCTTAGTTCGTCTCACAGCACCTACCAGCCGATAATGCCCAATAACCTCGAGGAGCCATGGAAAAATACAATAAAATGCCGGGTTTAGGGGGAAGGGAGAAGGGGATTAGACACGTGGACAAAGCGCATCAAGAGGACGAGGGAGAAAACAAGATGTACATATATACACATAAGAAGTACATTGTGTCTCGTGCACTTTTCTCTTCAGTCGGACGCCTGTTCAAAAAGTATCTACACTCTCCACCTTGACTCTCTCCCAATGACCTTCACAGCCTTTGGTGCCATTTTGATACCTTCAGCTTGGGTAAAGTACTACTCCTTCGTACTGTCTGCTCCTTATATTCTCCAAAGTTTGATGGAAATGCTTCTTACTTGTCTCGATGGAACCAGATTCTTGCTGGTTGCCTGCCAAATTCGAGTGGATGAGCTCGATTAAGCCATTGAGATATTTAGTTGTCACCTAATGTAACCATATGTCAGCCTTATTCACCACGAGTCGTTCGCTGGGCCCTCTTACCGATTCATTCTGTTGATCAAAATAGTAGACATATCTGTCCAGAATCTCGACAAAAAGCTCAATCGAGGTTGCAGTTTCCATGCACGAATCCGCTACACGAAGAGCCCGTTGCAAACATTCCAGTACTCGCTTACCATCGCGGTACAGCTGTTCTAGTAATTAGCATCCGATAAATTACAGTGTACATGGAACATCAAGTGCAAAGGTCATCTTTACCTCTGTTTCTTCTGACTCGCCATTGGATGTGATCGGAGTAGCCCACCAAAGATGACTCGCCAGGTAGACAGCCCGGCATTGATCAGGCTTTCGCAACAATTTGCTACCATGCTGCGCGCATTTAGTTATGAGAGTGTCGTAATTCTCCTTGCCAAAATTCCGCGTCTGGTGAAGAGATGAGGCGATAACACAGACCGCCTGAAATTGAGCCTTAGAATCTGTCACTGCCTCCTCATAGACCGTAAACGCCTGGGCGTAGAACTCATATGCCACCTCCTCGAAGCCCGTCATGTCAGCTGTCTGTCCAGCGCTACAGAACAAACGAAGTGACAGCTCAGCAATGCCAGGCCCATTCACACGAGTATACAAATTACTTAGTGCTGAATGAATAAATTTGTATAGAGCATTGCTCTGCGTCTCCCAGTTATCGTCGTAGTGTTCTCTGGCCTTGAGTCTTCTAGCAAGCTTAATACAAGCGGTTATTAGAGGCGGAGTAGTGGTTCGAATGCGATCGTTGCCCTCGCCGTATGCCTTGCGCGTCATTTGCAGTAGTTTGAACTGGGTGTCGTTGTGTTCCGCTTGTAGTAAATGAACCATTCGAGCCAGCCAGCCTTGTTCTTCCATGGTTTCGTCCGTTTCCACCGGGCGACGTTGTGACGCAACAAGATAGCCTTGCGGTGCCTGGGACCCCTCTTTGACGAGGACCGACATGATCTCCAAAACATTTTCTAGTTGTTCAGTCTTGGTGATCTTTGTTTGATCTTTTAAGAGAGTTCTGATGATTCCACCAGCCACAACACGACGTGTGGGATACGACTGGCACTGGAAGAGAGGGACGTAAGTGGGGAGGGAAAGGGCCGTGAATATGGATACATATCGTGTTAACGGCGCTTGTAGCAGAGCCAAGAGGCTCTGCTGAGCCCCAGGAGAATGCAAGTCGGCATTGTTAATATTCTCCCTCGTCTTTTGTGCGGCATACGCAAGAATCTGGTCCACATAATCCAATCGATCGGGGTAGTTGTTTAGGGCGAGATTACAGAGAGAAACCAAGAGAGCAATGATATCTTGGATGGGCAAGTGCTGGGCCTCCACCAGATTTTTTACCTGCGTGAAGAATACTTCGTAGAGCTGAACGTTGGCGCCGGCCGAGTCTTGACCATTAACGGCTGTGGTTTCAGTTTCAGCGTTGGACGGCGCTGTTGACTCAGCGACAGTGCTCGCTTCATCTCCAGCTGTGGTTCCACCCTCACCCTCATGCTTGGGCGTATCATCCTCACCATGTTTTTGCTTATCCTCATCTTCTTGTGAGATGGTACTCGGCTTCGGGACGGCTTCAGAGGAAGGGGGTGCATCCTTCAGGAGCTGAACCTTCTCCAAAAGTGATGCCAGAGCGTCTGCTTCGATCTTTTCTTGCTCGGGCCCTTTATCCTTTGATCCTTCTCGGTCGGCATATTCAGAGAGGCGGTCCATCAGTCCGATAACAATGGCTTTAACGTTAACGTGAGGGTTCAAGCGCGATACAGCACCAAGAAATTGGTCGAGGGTATGGAGGTGGAACTCGTCTGGAAAGACTTGCGTAATGACCTCGAGAAGGTACTCTTGAGCTAGGACATCGCGGCACTGAACCACCTGCTCCAATAATGGCCCGAGGATACTGGTTTTATACGTCTCAAGATCGACTAGTTGACTCAATCGCACAATATTGCTTCCCACAAGGAGTTGTAGTTCCTTTCGCTCTCGAATGCGCTGTTCGCGCTCTCTGGAGTGGCCCTGATGCTGAAGGCGTACCCATAATTTGTTCATTTCCACAAAGTTGGTCAGAATAAAGTTGATAGAGTCGCCCAGGTTACCCTCCGGACCTTCACTGTCAGAAGTCGGTAAAAAGTCGCGTACTTGGCCAGAGAGATAATATCGCAAAAACAGTCCACGAATTGGGTGCTGAACACCGCGGCTCATGTCCATCATATCCTTCATAAGCTCCTTGACCGGCGCATCTTCAATTGACATGTACGCCGTGCCGACCGTAATCATAAGATATAGTCTGGGAATGATGTTGCCGGCATATTGGACTAATTCGTATAGATCGGCAAGGTGATTGACGGGGTGGCTTTCCCGGAGATGGACCGATAGATAGCGCAAAGCGTCAAAGACAGCCATGTATAATTCATAATATTGCTTAGGGCCGAGACTGCTCGTGCGAAGCTCCGAGACCAAGGTAGAGCTGGTGGATAGACAGGAGATTAGTTCCGGTTGAGCCAGTTAGTAACAAGTCGGAATAACGCACCAGCATTTGAGGGCATCCATGAGTTTTCCAGGAGTGTCGAGGCATTTGCGCATAAGGGATGTCTGTTGCCGCACAGCTACCAAGGCATCCTCAAGCAGGCGAGCCTGGTCCTCTGGAGGCGCCGACGTCGTCATGGTCAAGCTCTGTCCGGTGCGGTGGGCTGGCTTTGGATATCGTGGATAGGCAAAGAGTTGGCCTAGTCGGCATTAACTGCTAAGTGCAAACCAAGACGAGGTTCGTCGTGGATAAGCCTGGCGCGGCAGCAAAGCGTCGGGGTGGTGAGGTTGAAGCTAGGAGCAAGCAGTGTGGTAGGAACTGTGGATGTCACGACATGTAACCAGGTCCACAGAGCACTTGGTTCGCGAAGCAGCACTTGAGGGCTTGGGTGGGTGGTCCCTGGTGACGACAGACACCTGCGGCTAAGTACCTAGGTACTTTCGAGACTGCACTTCAATGTTAACATTGAAGCGGCTCCGCCGACGACACCTAGGCCAGAGAGCTCAAGTGCTCCCTAAAACACGTCGGACAGCGGGGCAGGGGCCTGAAAATAAGGGACCAGCCGCCAGGCGCGCAACGGTGTATCACGTGAGGTACGGGGTCTGGTACTTGAAGCAAACGCTTTCCAGTGAGGATGAGAGGGTGCTGATCTTTTGTACAACCTGACTGCGATTCGGGAAAGTATCTATCGATAGTAATCGATCCCAAGGGATTTTCGAATACGCCAAAGCAACATTGAAATTTTTTTGCATTAGCTGTGGTACGTATTTGAAAGCATAGTGCCTGCTGATAAGAGAATTGACAGCTTCGCAGCGCCAATTGTCGTTGCGCAGGCCATAGCCTTTGATACTGTCCTTGGAGCCGCTTTACTTGTTCCGCCCGGCAAGCCTATTTCTAGTTCATTTGAACGATAAGATTAAGTAGTTTGTGGCTGTTTCTTGATACTGGTAGCCGTCACCACTAGCCCACCCAGCTCCATAACGCATTTTCAGTCCGCGGCAGGAGATTTGGATAACCCAGGATATACAGTCTCTGGCAAGATTTGCCGGTAGCGAGGTGAGCAGTAATGAAATACAGTATATCTTAGCATCACGCCCGATAGCCAGGTACCTCCTCTGACCAAATATATTTCGTCCCCCTATTGTTGACTCAGCACATCCTAATATTTATCATGATACACTTGGTGCTGGGCCGGTACTAAGGTTGAACAATTACATTCAGCCCCGAACAGTACAGCGAGCCAAAGCGTATTGTTCAATATTGGGATACTAAGCAAAATAAAGACAGTATGCGAGATGACTGCGTCTATCACTTTACTCTATGCTCCCACATCCAAAGGTACCACTAATCAAAATACATGGCCATACGGGCCCAAATATCGTCGCACGCTGCATAAAGAATCGTCATTGTCGGTCCGGGCGTCCAACGTGACTCTATGAAATAGCAAAATAACTCTTGTATGGTAAGTGCACCATTTCTTTCTGCTCTATGTTCTGTAACAGTCCCTCTACCATTTGATGAGCTTCTGAGGGAAGAACTCATTAATCAAGTCCATGTAGTAAGGCTTAAGCTCTTCGACAGAAGGGACATTGTCGCTCTTGCTGTAAAGGTCATAAGGGTTGAAAGCTTGTACGGCCTTGAGCATAGCGTGGTCTTTCTTGCACATAAGCTCACGATAGGCGCCCTCTCTGTGCCAAGGATAAAACGAGTGATAGCGAATCATGGCGAGAGCCTCATCAGGCAGAGTAGACTGATCCTTGACCACGTGATAGAGATATTCGTCGTGGCCCCAGCTGAGCATGATGTTGTCAAGGCCGCACCCGGGAGAGTAGATGCCGAACTTGGTGTTGTAGATGGGATCCTTGGTATCGGGGTTGGCCTCAAAAGTCTCGGGCAAAATGATGCGCTTATCGAAAGCACAGCCAACCGGGAATGTGTCTCCAACTACATCCCACTGACCTTGGGTCTCAAGCTCGGGAAAGAAAAGCATCAGCTTACCCAAGTCATGGATGAGACCGGTCAGCTGCATCCAACGAGGCTTGCCGTCGCGGCGAATGGCCTCCGCAGACTGGAGGAGATGCTCAATTTGAGAGAGGGTGGTATCGGGGTCGGACTCATCGATCAGAGTGTTGAGCTTCTCGATAGCCTGCCAGACGGTCATTTCAGGTCGAACTCGGGAAGCGCTGTTGAAACGGTTGCGAGCAGCCAGGTTATAAGCAACAGTCTGCTTCTTGTGCTGCTCTCTGTAGAAGTTCTTGACGCGATCGCAGGCATCTTCGTACTGACGGAACTGAGACTTGTCCTTCTCGCTGTCAAACTTGGCCTCAGAGTCGTATTTGATGCAGTTCACATCATCGATGGCATCGGACAGGCTCTCAAGGACTTGGCCATCATGGGTGGCAGGTGGAAATTCGACGATGGCTGAGGGGGCCATTGTAGCTGTGTTTACGAAACTTGGATTTGGTATCGTAAGATGTGTTGTCAGGTGCCCTTGAAGACGATAGCCAGCTGGTCAACAGTGTTGTAGGAATATCAGATCGAAAGATACTGTTCTCCTCTCAATTGTTTGGGTCCGGATTTGGGAGGTCAAAATCGGCGGAATACAAGTCTTGCTTTCCGAGGTGAAAGAGTATCACCAGAAAAGTGAGGACTATGTGAAGAGATTCCAAGCAAGATCTGAACCGAACCGAAAGAGGCTCGAGTGCTGCCAGGCCTTAAGTATGTATGCATAGACTCGTAGAGTATAGGTCCCCGCACCCCAATTTGTAGATTTTCATTTTACGTCACGAAACCCTCCCATGCGCCCTCCGCAAATTTCTTCCCCGTGTCTTGCGTACATACATGCTACACGACCTGGTGTTTAGTGCTCCAGGAACCCACGAAAGATGGATAAAGGTGGAGGGTTGTCCGGCGAGCACTGCCGAGTCAAGTCTGGCTCTATCTACCCCTCGCCAGCGCTTTCCGTTTTTGGCCATCTCTGATACCGTTAGCGTCGAAAACGAGAACGGAACCATGACTGGCATGAGAGCTCCACGTCAACCACACTCTAATCATCGCCGGGTGTTACCCTAAAAGGTATTACAGTTCCTCATGATGTGATCGGATCTCACACACATACTTACAGGCGCCAATTATGCCCATGGTTCCGGCACATGGCAGCGTATGCGACCCCTACGCGAAGCCTTGGCCTTCTGCGGGTGATTGAAAGGGCATGGTTCTCCGCGTTGTTGGGAGTTCCGAGCGGAAAACCAGTCCACTGCCGTCGTGGGCCGTTGAGATTCCTCCAAATTCTAATGCGCAGCCTTTACTGACGAACCCCGCGGTCCCGGAATTCACGGACATATGCCGGTTATCAGAATAGGTAATCCGCCCCATCTAATTTCCGATTCAGCTACTCCGGTACGTGGGGTCAACTACATGCCAGTGTTGAGTTATGAATGTCTCTTCCGAGCTATTCGGAGTGAATCAGCCATCACTGTCCCTATTGGTATACACAACATAGACCGAAAAACTGATCGTAGGGGCGTATTAAGTGATATAACCCAGTACCATAGTACAGCCACTATGCAGGTATCTCGATATCTCGGCTTCTTTTGTGCCGTACTGGAGAAACGTCGGACTAGACGAACGCTCTCGACCACGAAACACGTTCAATATTATCGACACAGTTGACGATCAGGTGTCAAAACTAAACCGTACTTTTACCAGCCACATCTCTTGAACCACAAGACGCAAGGCGAGTTGTGTTTGATGTCTGGTATCACTCTCCCCTCAACTACCGTCGCTGCGCTCTTGCGTATTACTTTCTGCTTACTTACCTAGGTAGGCAGGTAGGCACGGTTCTAGTTTGGGAATATAGTGGCGAAAGTCTCCTTCTTTCTTCAAAAACATCGTATGATTGAAAACGGATCTGTCGTCATGTGACCGGCCCTTCGGAACTTCTTGCCAAATTATACTCTCAATGCAAACGTCATCTCATCAGACAATAGCAGGAGATTCTCCTCTGGGCTAGGAAGATGAAGGAGATACAAATTTCATTACAAATCTCGTATACATGTGGGAAGGAACTTTGGTAAGCCGCAAGCAATCATGACCCGTGAAGGCACGCTTTCCCACTCGGGGGCGGTTCCCTTATTGGTATCACCTCTCTGTCTTAGGAATAGCGTCCTCGTTATTTCCTCTCCTTTGATCAAATGCGCTAAAACCTTGGCAAATACTTTATAAATATAATTTATTAGCCAAATTAGTACGTGGGCTGATCTTTGGTTCTCAGAAGTCCCTTGCGGCTTAGTCAAGATGCCCGAAGCATGATAGTTCCTTGTCACGGGGAATATGAGAATGTATGGCAACTGGGCACTAGAAAGATTGTAACTACAGATCCATTTGCATGGGAGCACCGAAATATGTCTCTGGCTAGCTCTCCTGCACCTTCTCTGTATCCTTTCCAGTATGCAAGACGCAGTGGAATCACTGTTCGATGTCCGGCTTGACCGGCGGCGTTATAGTTACTTCGCTGGAGCTGGAATTCTAGAACGGCCCGACGAGTGGAACAAACTGTTGAGTAATGCCTCCAACTTCATAGGCGGTACAGAGGTTCAGAATCCCACAAAACTATAATGACAGTTGGACGGGGGAGTTTTACTGGAAACAGTGCCAATTTGATCTGTAGGTGAAGGACTTCAAAGTTCACCCGTTACCTACTGTTTGGTAACATAATTCGCGGATCATAGCTAACCCCGGATAGAGTAAGTTACGATTGTGTCTGAGTCTAGCCCGTCGTCAGGGAAGAGTTTGCTCGTGATGAAGCGGCCCAACGAGTTCTTGATACCCAATATCCGACACTGACTTCAATAAGATCAGATGATTCACGACACGGTCTGGCCCTTCCTCTTCAAATTTCACCTATTACTCCATACACTTGGCAGTGTATTGGATTGGTTCTCAAGCTCAAATTTCCACCATCCAAACCACGGCAGGAACCTAACATCTGCATTCATGCAATACCGCTCAGCCTTGAACAAGAGACACGCATGTCGAAGCTACGACCAACATGCAGTCAGCAACTGGGGAGGGCAGACCCAGAGAAGTCGCAAAGTCAAAGAGCTGTGTACGATTCGACTTTCACAATGAGGCCATATCCACATATGCAAATTTCTCATCACGCTACAAGCAAACCGAAGGTCATGAGGGCTGTTGGATATGAAACGATTTGATAACGACCACCAACCTCCTCGCATGCACGCCACAACAAGGCACTAATCGGTGTTGGATGCGCAACTCGGGGCCGGGCCATGATGTTGGTCGCTGCGCATAATGTTCCAGTCTGTTGAAATTGTTGACATTTGCTATCTTTGACGGGATGGCGCTGATTCGTCGATGCCCAAACAAAGTACGGTGATCCGGCTGTCCGCCGGTTTTGGGTAGAGGCCCAAATAGGTCATGTGCTACCCTGAGCAGGGGCGAATCTGCATATCCTATTCTCAGTGCTGGCATCGACGCCCACACTACATCCCAATGTTGCACACCGATGACGCACGGCATGTCCATTGCCAGTGACATTTCTGAGTCGAACTACATGTTAGTCGACAACCACGGGAGCAGGCTGCAAGCCTGGCGTGATCCAGCAAGAGGCGTATCGCCAGCGAGGGAAACAGCAGGAAAGAGAGTAATATGTATGTATCAGACGTCTGACGGCTCAGAAAGGTACATACATTTGTACGCAGTACGGAGTACCCCGTTCTTCCTTACAACTGACCCAACCTTGATGTGCAAGAACCGAGGCAGAAATGCGCCGATGGATGTTGAAATTTCAGCGTTGTGTGGGAGACTCCTGGCTCCAGCTACCGGGGGATTGGGATTGGGGCCGATGCAGACCGGTGAGAGACGGTGAGGCAAACCCCAGTCCGTCATAAATAATTTCCAAGCTGGTATGCCTAGGGGGGCAAAACCAGTGCGCAATTGGGGTTGAGATACTCCGTACGGAACACGGACTAACGGAGTCGAGCTTGGCAAAAATTTGCGACAGGCATGGCTATATTGCCACGAGGTACGGAGTACGGAGTGCTAGTACTAGATATCTCGTGGCTTCCGTTCTCTGCCATTCGCCAAGAGACTACATATGTAGTCTGCCAGTTTGCGTCTCCCTCCAACACGAACCATCAGCGAGCCAACTGCATATTGTACATTACGGAGTACACCTGGTTCGTGCTTTGCGCACAACAATGCTAGCTGCGACTTAATGCACGACGTGAAAAGCGGTGCGGATACAGCATGTCCAGTGTGTTGAAATATCGCCACATTTGGCTTAGGGTGAAGAGCTTTGAATAAAACAAAAAGGTATCGAACAGCGTTGAGACAAAGGGCATTCTGGCGGTGAAAGTGACTATTGAGGCTCACGGACATGGTAGAGTGAAGACTGATGAGGGTCTCGTGACAAAGAGACAAGCAGAAGGAGGGAGGATTTCTTGGGGGTTCGCCAAGAAAGAGTATACGCTAACATATTGCAGTATATGATGGTATAGCGGGTGATATGGGGTAACCTGGCTGCATTGCACGAGTCGGTCAGCATTCTACTAAGTACTTTAGGCGAGCTTAAGTCCTAAGTTGAGGCTGCTTGGCCAAGTGCCTGTGTTGTGGTCGAGCGCTGTAGATGGTAAACAGGGGAAGTACGAAGGGGTCTGGTGCGTGCATGTGCGCGCGGTACCTACATGTACTTAAGTGCCTACCTCAAAAGTGCTGCCTCCTGTCCCCTGGGCTCCCAGTTTGTCAAGACATCAACTGCCATGTGGCTCCTCCCGACCTAGCGGACGTGCCTGATCTGTAGGTACTTACCCGTCCAGGTTCCAAGCTCAAGCATCAATAGACACCGTGAGCCTCGCCCCTTCCGCCGAGTTCAATCCAATTTGTTTCTGTTCCCATTCATAAACTGCGCACCTGATCTCAAATCACCTGTTTTTTTTTTTTTTGTTTCTCGGCCTCTTCGGCATCACCCCTGCCGCAATTGTGCCCATCTGGTGTTTCTTTTTTGCGGTCCAGCACCGATTAGTTATAGCCGCCTTGGCCTGCTTAAAAAAAAAAGATACCTGGGCACTTGACGACTGGGGGTACTTCATAGGTCTCGTGCCTGGCCTCAGCCAGTATCTCGACTGCTATTTGGAACTTGAGTACCTGGCGACTCTGTGCTTGGAAACGGGAACCTTGGAAGTTTGGTAAGGTCCCTGTAGGTACTTACCTGGCAGCCTAGGCTTGCTCACCAGCTGGTCCTTGCATCCATCCCTACGACTCAGTCTAGTACCAGACTCCATGCTAACTCAAATTGAAGACGCCATTGACCCTAGCAGCCTAGCAGCCTAGGCCTAGCTCGATCATTGATCGCTCCCGGGCTCAGTCGACAGACGTTGCGTGGTGCTGGTACAAGCCGGCGCTACTGACGATCCACCGCCATCGCCCCAAGTATCGTCTGGTCGCCACGGACCGTTGGCCCGCTGTTACCTTCTCCGACTTTTGACCCCTAGCTCCTGCGGAAGGCGGTGCGCCCATTGTCGTCGTTATCGAGATTGACGGATATTGTTTATTTCTAGGAGGTGAGCCAGGGCTGCTAACTTCCATCTCTTCTTCTTCTCCTTCTTCACTAGGAAGACCTCTCGACTCGAAGATGGAGTTAGCAGCATCAGAACTGGACTCGGCCGTGCCGCCGCTGCTTTACTACGCCTATCCCGGAGCTGTATTTTCGTTCTTTCTGGCGGCATCCCTTTATTCTGTGTGCACGCTGCACAATCTCAGGCATGAATGGCAACTGAAGGCGGAATCTTCAGGCCAGCAATATGTTGTTGGAGCCCTCTCAGTATTCAACTTGACCTATCTTGTGCAGCTTATCTGCCTAGTCGTCTTCAACAGCGCAGACGAGCAATGGCCACCAGCCGAGCACAGTGTTGTCGGGAACCTGTCTTGCTTACTGGTATTTGGTATCCAGATTTCCTGGCTATCCACTGCCACGGACCTCGTGTGGTATCCTTACCAAGGGGCTTGGATCATTGCATTGGCTTTTGAAACGACGCTTGGCGCTTTTGGTGCTGTTCAGTCGCATACGAGAACTTTGAGCCGCCATCATACCGTCGAGCTGGTATTGACAATCTTGCGATGCGCACTTCTTCTTGTTCTTGTCTTTTGGGCCTCTTTTTGGCGCTGTGTTCAGGCTGTTCATCATAGGTCAGATGAAGAACATCAGCCATTACTAACCGACGCTGCCAATGGGAGCGCGTCCGGCTATGGATCAACATCTGATACTGAAGCAGCGTCTGACGAGGAGGCAGAGTACAACTGGGAGCGGCGTGAGCGAGAGGCGAAAGAAATCATGGAGAAAAGATTGAAAGAAGGCGGCAACTGGTTTACATATGCCAAGGGATTCATGGTAAGTGAAAGTCTCTGCCTTTGCCACCCACCTACCCATTCTTACGCCTAGGCCTGGAACACGAAGTCTTCAGAAGTCTCCATACCTTTTTAAATGAACGCTTAGAGTTGCTAACTACTCGCAGGTTCTCTTCCCTTATGTGTGGCCTGTCGGGAATCGTGTCCTACAACTTCGAGCCGCGACAGTGGGGTTATGCCTTCTGGGGTCCAATGTCCTGCATTTGTTGATTCCGAGACAGACGGGTATCATCATGGACAGCTTAGCTGCCAACAAAGAGGACAGTTCCAATAACCCCTGGGTTGCAGTGGCAGTATTCGCTGGACTGAGACTCGCAGCCTCTGACTCGGGTATCGAGCTTTTGCGCCAATGGCTTTGGATCCCCGTTCAGTACTATTCTCGTGATGCCATGACCCGAGCAGCGTACTCTCATATGATCCATTTATCAGCAGATTTTCACGATTCGAAAAGTTCTTCCGATATGATGTTAGCCATACATGGAGGCCACGCCGTCTCTAATGCAATAGAGAGCGTATTGCTCCAGGCGCTTCCAATGTTCATCGATATGTGTGTCGCTTTGATCTACCTGTCCGTCACGTTCGGTCCATACGAAGGTTTCATAACCCTAGCCACCGGAACCATCTTTTTCATCATGGCTGGCAGATTAGTGGCCGAATCCAAGGCTGCAAGTCGGCACCGTGTGAATGCCCTATATCAGGAGCATTACGTTCGGCAATCAGGTTTGCAAGGTTGGCAGACAGTTAGCGCCTTTAATCAAATCGGCTTTGAAGATAATCGACACGCCAACGCTGTTACCAACAGGTGGCTTAGAGAGCAACAGTATATTCTGAGTTGGTATATTTCCATAGCTTTCCAGACGGTGGTTCTTACATGCGGTCTCCTGGCTAGTGCTTTTCTGGCAGTCTATCGAATCCAGAATGGAAAGGCATCCGCAGGTCAATTTGCAATGCTCTTGATGTACTGGTCACAACTGACATCACCGCTACAATTTTTCGCCAAACTTGGCAAGAGGATGAGTGACGACTTCATTGATGCAGAGAGACTTCTTGAAATCATGAAGACAAAATCTACAGTTGAAAATAAGAAAGGAGCAAGGCCATTGAAGTTTGTAGCAGGCAACGTTACATTCGATAATGTTACATTCAGCTATGATGGACAGAAAGGTGTTATTAAAGGAATTTCCTTCGAAGTTTCTGCAGGTGAGACTGTAGCGTTTGTTGGGGCAACCGGCGCTGGCAAATCTACCCTGCTGAAGCTCCTTGACCGATTTTACGATGTTACCGACGGAAGCATAAAAATTGATGGTCAGGACATCCGTGACGTGGATCTCTTTAGGTAAGAAATCATCAATCTGCTCATGTCAGACAACGGGATACTAATTCCACCGTCTGCTAGCCTTCGTGATCGAATTGGCATCGTTCCGCAAAACCCTATTTTATTTGACGATACCATAATGAACAACGTTCGATACGGAAGAATTACGGCTAGCGATGAAGAAGTATTTGACGCCTGCCGTGCAGCCTGTATACACGATAAGATCGTAGGCTTTACACAGGGTAAGAAGAGTCCTACTTTACCCTAGTGCTAATGGAATTTAACAGTAGTATAGGCTATGAAACACGGGTTGGTGAACGTGGTGTGTGAGTATTACATCTTCCACCAGTCCCCAGCACTGTGAAGCTAACAACCCCAGAAAACTATCAGGCGGAGAGCTTCAGCGAGTAGCTATAGCGAGAGCAATCTTGAGACGGCCAGATATTGTCTTATTAGACGAGGCAACTAGCGCTGTTGACACCGACACTGAGCAGCAAATTCAACTATCATTCAGACGCCTCTGCCAAGGTCGTACCACGTTTGTTGTGGCGTAGGTACTAGATACCAGATGTTTCAGATCCCCCTACTAACTATACTAGGCACCGGCTGTCAACCATCATGAATGCCGATCGTATTGTTGTTGTAGAAAACGGTGAGGTTGTTGAGCAAGGAAATCATAGCAAGCTGATAGTGGCCAATGGACGATACGCGGATTTGTGGTCAAAGCAAGTCTTTATACGACCACGAGACAACCCCGACCCTGTAGACTTGATTGATGATAGAACGGCAGTGGTTGACGACCTGGCATCAGAACAAACCGCAACCGAATTGGGACAATCTGAAGGAACAGACTCAGATAGTGAGATACTGACCGCCGATGAGAACCAACCTGAGCAGAATAGCTCGGCTCTTGGACAGCATCGGAAAGAGGTATAGTCATTCGATTTCCTTACTTCATAACTGATAGTAAATCTTCAGTTCTATAATAGGGATCCATGTTGAATCCCGTTGCTCCTGAATTTACTCCGAGACGTACTCCACGTTCTACCGATGACCATGAAATGAACGAAGAGCAAAGTATGTCGGGATGTTCGAAATTTGGTGGAGACATCCGCAAATTTGCCGAGTTGAGGGAGCGGCAATCAGAACTGCGGAAAGATTCATCGCAACTTCTAAGTACGGCTGTTGAAGATCGATTCAGAAGTACAGAGGATTCAGTAGGCGCTACCCAGAGCACTCTACAGGACACATCTCAGTTGGCGGTGGGCAAGAAGAAGCCCAGTGGTGACCAAAATCTTTCAGAGTCAGACGGCTACCCCGACGGTAAGACTTACTTTTCGATCGCGAAGAGCCTTCATGCTAATCGGACTACGTCAGGCTTTGAACAATAGAAAGTCTCATGGCCCTCGGAAACTGTGACCTGTTTAGAGCCACCCTTTCACCAGTTTCTGCAACCTTCCCATTATCAAAGATTTCAGGTAGCTAGTGGATCATCGAAAAACGTTGAAGAGCCTGAACCTCACTCCCGCTCGGGGTTTATTCCTAAACTATTTCCAATGGGTGATGTGAGTGCTTCGCGTAGATCCTGTCTTTCTCATCTAATTCTCTCGTTCCAGGTTGCACGGCGCGTCTCAATTTCAAAAATCAAGCTTAATCCGGCGTTTTCTTATATTCCAAAGCCGCTCCATGGTAGTCAATCGTCAATACAGCAAGCTCTTCCAGCTCGCATCTATCAGGAACAACAACGGAAACGAGGGCAGGCAGGGTCAAAGCTACCTGCGGCAGTCCATCCCAGCATTAGGCCCAGCAGTTCCTCCGATCTCTCAACTCCCTCTCCTTACATATAGAGATCCATCTTGGCATCTCATCGCAGAAAATGACAGCTATTATCACGCAAGTCCAGCAGCAGCCTGTTGCTGATATCAAATCGACAATAACCAGTGATTAAAACCACTGAGTCAACCCGCATGTATCCAAATATACGAATGAATGTTATTCCGTCATGGACAGCTACTTGGAGAGCATAGTTTTCCCCTGTTTTCGTTAAATCAGCAATATACCGCTGTTTGGCATGTAGCAGTAATTTGTTATGCTATAGGCTAGAGCTGAAGCATACAAACACTGATGAATTATTATTATTTTCACCGGCGCAGATTGATTGCCTATTGGCCTAGGCATATGAGGGTGGGTAAAAAGAGAAAGAAGCCCTACAGTTTTAGACGCATTCGTGGTCCAATCCGCAGGAAGAAGAGTTTCAAGAAGATAGAGAATCGTGGTAATGACTAATTCATATTTTACTACCACATATCGATTTGTCTCCCTAGGTATCTATGTGTCTTTATACAAGGATATACCTTGTGCTCTTGGAAATCCGTCCCCATAGCTCATCCCATCTCCCCAATGCTCATTAATTTACTGTCCAGCACCGCCCTGACCTGGGTTACCGCCTGGCGCACCTCCTGGCGCACCGCCACCGCCCATCATGTTTCGAGCCCTACAGACAAGTATGCATTAGTCAACTATTCAATCTTCGCACGGGAGTGTTGTGGATTGAGCTTGCTATCGAGAAGTTTTTGTTGCTTACATGTCAGCAATGTTTGGGTCAGACATGAGGCTGTTCAGGTCGGGCATGCCACCGCCGCTGCTAAACTGATTAGCCATCTCACGCAGGCGAGGGTTGCTCATGAGGTTACTCATGAGGTCTGGATTGCTCATGAGGTTTTGAGCCATGCTAGCGAACATGGGATTGCTCATAATGGAACCCAGATCAGGCATGCCGCCGGCACCACCAGCACCACCGGCGCCGCCACCGAACATTGATGCGAGATTGCTCAAGTCGGGCATGCCTCCGGCCCCGGCCCCGGCCCCGGCCCCGGGTGACGACCGTGGAAGGCTGACTTCCTCAGCTTGCATCTCTTCCACGCGACGCTTGGCAGTCTCGTAGCCCTTCTTCATGGCCTCGGAGCCGCCATTGCCCTCATACTCAATACCCTTGTTGTAGGCCTCCATAGCGCCCTTGGCATCTCCAAGGGCAAAGCGAGCGAGACCGAGACGAGACCAGGCCTTGGTGTAGGTAGGGTCAACAGCAACAGCGGCCTCGGCGTCGATGCGAGCAGAGGCATGGTCCTTGGCGGCAGAGTGCGCAGCAGCACGGTTGGACAAGAAAACGGCATTGGCAGGGTACAGCTTCAAGGCCTGGGTGTATAAATCGATGGCCGTGGGGTAGTCCTTCTGGGCCATGGCGGCATTGCCCTTGCTCTTGAGGCCCTCGGCCTCCTTCTTCTGCTCCTCGGCGGGCTCGGCGGCGGCGGCAGAAGCGCCCGCAGGACCGCCGGCCGCAGGCGCAGGCCCGGGTGCACCAGTGGAAGCCTTCAGCTTCTCGTAGACGGAGTAGATGGACAGCAAGCTCTGGGAGCCGACGGCGGCGCGGACGGCGTCCTTGTCGGCGGGGTCAACCTTGAACGACTCGGCGATGCAGTTTACCGCGACCTCGACCTCGTCCTTGTCGTCGGCGGTGAGGGTGCCGTCCGTGGTCGAAGTGCTCAGGAAGTCGCAGATGGCGAGCGCAAGGCGCTGCTTGGAGGTATGCTGAGAAGCCTGCACCACACACCCCGCCCTGTTAGCCATATTAAAAAAAAAAAAAGAATGCTGTGCTCAGAGTGGCCTCGCAGTTGATGCTGCTTGGGGGAATGTGTCTGCGTCTGCGGTCGATCGGATCCCCCGCGACGCAATCGTACGTACCATTGGCACTGAGGAATCGGACTTGCGTGACAAGCAAGCTGGGGACAGGAAATCGACGATTCAAAGATGCTAATTACTTCTATATCGGAGGATGGGAAAAAAGAAAGGGCGGGCAAAAGCTCTCTTGGAGGTTGATGGTTGGGCCGCGTGGGCGATTTTGCCCCGCGGCACTGACATTGTCACATTCTGTGGCTTCAGTCTAGGCGGAGTACTTGCACCTGGCCTGGGCGCCGGGTCCATCAATCCTATTGACATCATGCGCTCGTGGAACCTTCCAAAGGTCTGCGTCAGGCACTGGGGCCTTGCGTGGCAGCCGGCTTATGGACCGAGTGCGGGGCTATGAACGTTAGTGTTGGACATTGAGTGTTAATAGTATTGTGTAAAATGTCTGTCCGTCTTGTTACAACATTAAAGTTAAGCACCCTGCAATGTGCATGTGGAATAAACTTTCTTCAGTCATCACACATCATGCCGCCACCGACAAGCGACTATGCCTCTAACCGCCCCAAGAAATAACAGCCGTGAAGAAGGAGGGAGATGCACTGCCAACCATGTGTGCTACTATTCATTGCCGTCTAATCAATACCAACAAACTCCTGCCTGATGAACTATATGTACCATCCCCAGTCTAGGGGAAGAAACCCTAGATATCTGTAGAACGCAATCTTGAAGAATATCGAACGACCGACCCGGTCTACTTCTCCCCACGCTTTCTGTCAACATTCTTGACTCGTCGGTTACTCATTGCCGCCACTCGCCTCGATTTGGCATAAACCCGGACCACGTCCTTCAGCACCACGAACAGACATCCGCCAACTAAGCTTCGTCCCCATTGTTGCTGGAGCAAGCCCGGCCGACCGCTGACGCCGGCATATAGTGCCCAAGGATTTCGCGACCCTGACGTCCATGTCTTGGGCAATGCAAGCCGCAGTGCTTCCCCCACGGCAAAGGAAACACCAGGAAGAATGAGAGCTCCAACCACAGCATTTGATATGCTCGACAACAGGGCCCCCAAGCCCATCCTGCGGGCTGGGGGAGCCTGCGGAGCTTCGTGTTGAGCCTGGACCTGGCCCTCGGCAGCATTTCCAGCCTCGTTTCCTTGGGCGTCTTCACCACCTTCTGGTGCTTGAGCGGGTTCCGCGCCGTCTGCCCGGTTTGCAGGTTCATGGGCTTGACCTCCTTGCTGCCCGGCGGCATTGTTCTCGTTTGGCTCTCTGTGGACCCCGTTTCTGTTAGGAATCGCCGCCTCCTGGTCCTCTCTGATCTCCTCGACCTCCTCTATACGAAGTTCAATCATAATCTCAGCATCCGCACCTGGATTGTCACCGGCATCTATCTCCCCATGCATGAACTCAATGCGGTCGATGCCGTTTACCTGTGGGTCATCCTCTTCATCGTCTGGATCGAGAGCATCAAGAATGCCCTGTAACAGGCCGACAACGCCGCCATCTCCATTGCGCTGTGCTTGTCGGCGTTGATTGGCGCCTTGTTGCCCCTCGATTTGTTCAATAGGTGGCAGCCCCATAATCTGTCTATTCAACTTGATCTCGTAGGGCAGCACAAACTCTCTCCATAAATTGTAGTAAATGGAGCGTACGTAGGGGAATAGAGTCATTGCAAGTCGCGGGGATGGGGGCCAAGTGAGGAACGCATCGTCGTGTATGATTTGATACATGCCGTACTAAAATCCATCATGTTAGCAATATCGCATCCTCTGGTACAGACGGAGCAGGGCAAAGGGTCCTCGTACCAAGGAAGCTGAAGGCAGGAATATCTTGTTGCTCAGGTTGGGTAGCAGCTGGCTGAACAGCAGTGTCGGCGCAATATTCATCATGACCAGCGCGCTCCATATACGTTCTCGCACAAATCGCATGCCCCCCGCGTTCTTTGCGTCGATGACCATCTTAGGACCGAGCAGAAACCGCATCATGGTGTCTTTCCCAGCAAACGACCAGAGGGCCAAGGCGCCATACATCTGTAAGCTGAACTGTACGCCCATAGAAACTCCCGTGAAGAGGATAAACGGGCTGGCCCTTGTAAATCGACTGCTAATCGCATCGTTCAGTGCGACAACCAAGTCCCACGGCCCTTCCATCTCTATCGTGGATTTGCATACAGGACACTGCAGCGGCTTGTTGTTACGCTCACAGTCCGTGACCCATGACAGCATGCAGTCTTGATGTGCCTCGAGAGTACAGGGACAAGGATCGACCCATGAGCCTGGGGGGTCAGATGGATCCTCGTCTGTCAAGCAAATGAAGCATCGTCGTGGTGCATCGGGATGTCTTTCGGCTTTAACAACTTCTAGCGTCTCGGGCGGTGACGTCGTCCCCTTGTCGGTTGATGCCATTTTGGACCAGCGGTGCTACGCTCTGGGAAGCGAAGCCGCAAGATTTGCTTTCAGAGCCAGGTTGGAGCCGTTCGTCAAGTGTTCATAGTTGGCGAGAAGTGTGTAGCCGTTTCTTGGTCGAACCGTAGCCAACTTGCATCAGCGAGAGTTTTCGCCGGAATGTGAAAGTAATCGCGGACAAATGAAATGCCGAAAAATATCGCGTACGAGCCTGTTACTGCCCTTCTGCCTGTAACACCAGTGCGGATGTATGTCGGGTTTGCAAGTTGGACCGAGTGATGGTTTGGACTCCGAGGCTGTTTGCTTGTGCTGATGTCACGCCTCTCAACAAACGGTAGGGACAGCAGTGAGCCAATCATGGACCTGCAGCCTCAAACCCACTCAACTTGTGATACCGAGCCCCACCGCCGACTATTAACCCGCAAGCCGTCTTCGGACAAAGACGAGTCCAAGCCGTTTTGTCCTTTTGGATGATCTTGAATCGTCCTCTTTGTTGCCAGATTCAACACCTATCAAGTGTAAGCAAATGCACGTATATGAGGACTCGTCACAATCCATGATCTCAATCAAAGACGCTCAAAGGACTGAGAAACCCGTTGGCCTACTGGGAACAGGGTAGGTAAAGAATCCCCCGTTGAATGTCTCCAAGTCTCAATACAATGCAGATATATATATCCCGGTATTGGAATACAATGTGGCACACACACACACACACACACACACACCGTCTGTTTTGGGAAAGGAGGTAAAACAATAGATCTTGAGAAAATCTACCTGGGGTGGCTTGGTTGCTGTCATCGTCCAAGCAGAACGCGTGGTAGCCGTCATTCCCAACCTCGCCACCTTCATGAGCAAGATGAATCGTAAGCTCGTCACACGCCGCAACCAATCGGCTGGATGCCAGTGTGCTGCAGCTAACGTCAACTATGACACCCTGGTATAAAAGTAGTAACGCATTTCGAATTTCCAGAACCACCGCACCACACTGTCCCTTGGTTCGTGCGTCAAAATGAGCAAGTTTATGGCTGCAACCTTTTGGGCTCTGGTGCATAGAACCAAGCACAAGGAAGTGCCCACTAATGGCATACATGTATGTAGACACAATATATATACCTTGCCAATGCTCTCTGGAATGTCCTGAGTTGGCATGCTGTTTTTGTTGGCGAGACTCGCACACTCTATCCAAAATGTCGCTACACGGCGTGGTGCAGAAGCTACTCTTGGGACTTGAGTTCTGTCTCTCGGTCACTGCAGTGGTCTGTTTTGTCCGGGAACTCCCTGAGCATGCAAATGATGAGAAGATGCTTGGACATTTCGGTTGCAATGTGGACTTGCGTACAGGTCTATGCTTTGCATCGAACCCAGAAGCCATCGAAACGGTCACCAAGATGAACTCAAGGTATGTCAGGAGAAGAAAGCAAAATAATTGAGCAGAACTAACAACTCCGAACAGGGCTCGGGAGTCCAACTTTGGATTAGCAATCCTCTCCTTGGTAGTTGTACTTGTTCGATTCGTGTCTTGGCGGCTGAATTACAGCCCTCGATATGCCAACTTGGTATACGACTTGCTGTTGTCGGGGCTGTGGTGTTTCAACTTGGTCCGGCAGTTCACCTCGACAGAGCTGGCAGGCTGCCGATATGAGCACGTCGGACAAATAGCTGAGCTAGGCATATGCAGACTAAACGTTACCTGCGTAAGAATGGCCACGGTCGCCATAGTGCTGTACAGCGGGCGAGTGCTGGTAGATGTCAAGTCCATAATGGAAAGCGACCATAGCATTTTGTTGCATGAAAAGAGGTGGGCGCAGGTCGAAAGTGGCGATGGTTATGAAGATGAGCTTCAGAAAGCACAGGCAGGGTCTTTCAGTCCCGTCCTGGCTTTTTTCCCTGACACACATCGCGAAATTTGACCGACGTCCAGCGCATGAAGACGTACATAGCAGAGGGACTTCGTAATGGTACATGGGGGCACTATTACCCAGCGAGGGAGTTATTTGTCTTCTGGCAAAACCTCACGAATACATTCGCGGCACAGAAGCTCAAAATATCAAACCAAGTGATCAATTTGATGTCAAAGCCTATCGAACCAACCCCGTGCCATCAACCACCTCATCATAGGAAACCCAAAATAAAGAGCGGCTTGCGTCCCACCCCCCTCTCAGACGCACAAAACAACTCGAGGCGCTCCAGCTAGACTCTGCTATTCTACTTCACACTTCCTTCATCATCGACTCATAACCCGGTAAAGCAGGCGTGATTGAGGAGGATGAATCCATTATTTGTGCTACAAAACACAGACTTGTGTTAGTCATGCAGAGTTGCTGGACTTGGACAGGCTTGGGCTCGACTTACAGGGCAGTTGGCGCAAGTGCAGTTGGAACCGCAGTTGCATGAGCCAGAGGTAGAGCATCCGCAATCGCCAGCCATGATGACGTGAATGGTTTGAAGTCTTTTTGGGTAGGGGGTGTAAAAGTGCTTGTTTTCTCTGAAGACTGTGTGTTGACAGAAGTTGAGGGGACAGCTGGGCGAACAGTTTCGATGGGGAGGATCAAGGTCCCTTTTAAATCTGTTTCGACAACCGCTAAAGGGTGGCCAAGATCCCCGGCGTCAGCTCCTTCCCCCACTTTCAACCGCCACAACCAGAACAACCCCTCTTTACCACCATCTAGTTTGTACGGCGATAAAGTTCACCAGGCGTGCGCCGGTGCTAATTGAGTAGAGCAGGTGGCGAATGACGTTGTGGGAGAGTCTGATCTGCTGTGCTATCATCGATCACCCCCCATGACAAGGATCTCGGTAGTTGAAAACAGCACTGATTCGTGCTCCGGACATCGCTCTATCACGCCGAACAGCGACCACCGTGCCCCTCTACTGCATTTCAAGCCGGGGATTTGGTGGGCTGCCACGATGCTGCCACGGTGCAGCACTGCAGGACTGTCGAAGAGTCTGGTGGAAGGGTGAAATGGAACCTCACCCGACGTTTTTGGTAGGTGGCAGCATCCAGAGATCGGGAAACTTTGCTGCGTCGCAACTTTCGATGCATGGACTAGTCATGGGTCTAGCATGTCAGCCCTGGAAGGAGGACCAATGACCATGTAATGGAACTGCTACTTCCGGACTGAACACATCATCGACGCTTGCTGCATGTCACCCACAAGACTGCGAGGGAGCAATGACATGGCTTGTCAGTTGAACTCCTTGCCGCGATAGCCAGGGTCGGCGTTGATACCGGATCACTTGATCAGAGGGGTGTTTCACCGATCTGTATGGTCCTTGTCGCCGCTTCGTTCAAAAGAAAGCGGCCATTCATTGTTCCCATTGTTCGCACAGGAGAAGCCACTCGTCAACAAAGTTCTCCGAGACACAGTTTTACAATTGCATGGAATGCTGTTGTTGCGGCTGTATGCAGAATCTTGGCAAAGTCTGACGAGGCCAATGCGCATCAAAGGTCAATGCCAGGCACAGCATGACGAGCCTACAGCAAGTCGGTTTGTGTTGCCGCTATCAACCAGACCCCACCCCGCATCTGGGATCTGGGACTTTCAGAAGTTATGTCCGGTACTCATCGGATCAGACCTGACTCTCCAGAGTAAGAGCGACGCTTGGCACCTATCAATTGATCCCTCCCTGCAAGCGGCATTGTACTGACGTTGTCGGCGTCGGCACGAATATCCCTCAGCACCATTCGATCAGGTGTTGTGGTCATATGTCTTCTCAAATCGTCTAGTGACGCAGGACAACACATACGGTGACATACCCGATGGGCCGATTCTGCTGGGCACGCAGCCTAGTCGAGGAACGGCACGACTCAGTCAATACTTTGAGATCAAAATCCGCACGAACCACATACACCAGATAGCTTGAATGATCTCTACATCATCTGAATTTTTCTTTTGCACAGCCAGTAGGGAAACACGAAACTACAGAATATTACGGAGTAGTCCGTATGGTATTTCAATTCTGGGTACCACCATTTCGATACTGCCTAATTTCTGCGTTCAAAGACATCGCCAATCTAAAGCCCTGGCAGTCTTTGACGATGATTCCTCTCATGCCACCAATTATCAGGCTTGTTCCCATCATTTCAGCGTAACTTATCACGGATCATCGCCTGCTTAACTTCTCCTGATCTAGACCGACACCCGCCACATGCGGTGGCTGCCAGCCACTGTCGGATTTGCCCAAAATCAGTTATCCAATGAGACGGAGGTTAAAACCCGTCACCCTGGCAAGCAGATGACCCCGGAAAACCTTGTCTCCTGTTCCGAGCCTCGATGTTTGTTCGTGCCTCGTTCTTGCTGCATCTGTTTTCTTCGGTAATACCCAGCTCAACGCCGAAAGCTGATCTGATGATTGGTCGGGGAAGCTGGCCGCCTATTGTGTACGACACCTCGGCATAGGCGAAGCTCAGAGCCTCTTGAAGGAACAAGTTGACATCAAACTGAATTCCATACCTCAAGGCTGGATTCTCCGGTTTGGGGATGACGTGGTGCCAGGTGCGAATATACATGGACGTTACCCATATAAATGTGCGCGTCACGGTGCCGTATGACCCCAGTGCCAGCCAGTCAAGGTAGGTTGTGAGCTCTCTGCAAAGGATTTCTGGAATGCGTAAAACTCTCACCAGACCGACAACCTGACAATGAAGGCGCGGCGAGCTCTTGATTTGCTGCCGTGATAGCTGGAAGAGCGTGGGGGCAGGGTAGCTTATCACGTCTTGTCTTGCCAAAGCATACCAGATGCCGTCCTGATTTCCACGGTGGAAGTAGAGGCCCCAGTTGAACTCTTCCTGGGCTAGGTCCTGAGCGCAGTGGATTTCGTATGTGGCTATGTCAAGTCCGCGAGACGATTTGGGGTGGAAGTTGTGCCTCGATGATGCATCGGCGTCTTCGATGTGGTACGGGAGAGAAATGGTTACGTAGAGAGAACCCGGCTCCAGGTCCCTGATCGGAGAAGCCATGATGGCGGCGCGTATTCTGCTGGGGGGATGGCCGCGCAGTATGAGTTTTGCTGAATGACTAGAATTGAGAAAGAATGTAAGACGGAGCGGCGAGGACCAGTCAACGATGTCGGGTAACACAAGCTGATTGCTTCCTTTGAATATGCGCAGGTTTTGTTGTATTGAACCAAGATGGCCGTTACAACAAACACATATACAACAGACGCACTAGTTGACCTGTACACATTCATTCACAGGGACGTCTGGATTCACAGTCACTTGGGCTGCCTGCGCCATTTCTTCAAAACAATGGGATTGAGCAGAGTACTCAAGCACCTAAATCTTGACCAGACTCTATCAACGAAAACACGGACAGCCGGCAACTGCTGGCATACGAGTGGCACTGAACCTGCACAGCTGGCAGGGTGTTTTGCTTGCCTGGTACATAGGTACGTGACCGATTGCAGCAAAACTCCGCAACAACAACATCAATTGAAATGAGGGTGGGACATATGCGCCGAGAGGAGACAGAGCCCGAGGCCACAAGATGAAACCTGGTATCTACATGTAAGCCTTCACGGCTCTTCTTATAGGTGCGCATCTTGACACCCGGGCCGACCGACGCCTTCTTCCTCGGCGATGGGCTCAAATGGGCTCGTTTCAAAAATAGCGCCAAGAATGAAGGTGGGTTGGCTGTTCAGAGTAGATAATAATCCCTTGTGTCTAGATGTCTGACCGCAGGAGTGCAGAGTATTGTCCGTGATCGTTGATGCACATGTGCACATGTGGCGGCATCAAATGTTGGGGCTCCTGGGGCTCCAGATAACGACCAGGGCCTGGCACCTTGAGCTCCATGTCCTCGCCCCGGGTGCCAGCGTTGGCTGTTTGCGCGCCTATCAGGAGGCCCGGAGGACTGGAGAGCTTTAAAGATGAACGAACACATGCAGGGGAGCTCCACAATCCCCCGGTGCCATCTGTCAAATTCTGCAAGCTGAACAGCTATCGACTGCTCTGTAGTCGACCCCAGTTTTGTTCAATGTTCAATGTTCCCTTTCGCGGCGACCGGACCCATGTGGACAAAAATGAGGTCATTGGACACTGGTCGCATAAATAAGAGGTGGCGGCTTGCGACCCTCACTCGCTGTGCCATTCCCATTGCTAGCAACACCCTCCGAGGCCTAATTGGAAACGGCTGATCTCGTTCAGGACCATCTCGCATATCGCATGCGCTTCCCTGGCCCTTGCGTTGCCTGCATTGCATTTCTCTTCACCTGACCTGGAACCAGTTGACATCGCCAACCAGACAACCAACAGAGCTAGATCCGGGTTTTGAGGAGGGGCAGCTCTCGTGCCACCTGCGGGGTTGAAACAGCACGAACATTGAAGGTGACAACGTTCAAAATTCACCATTTGGCCCATCCAAAGCTCAACATTGCACAGACAAACGCGCTTAGATGTGGAAACCCTCGTCGTCGCTCCATCGTCCTGAATTCTGATAGCTGTCATCATGGCCGGATCCGTGCCCGTTGCCGGCTCCCTTGCCGACATCTATCCGACTGCTGCTTTGGCTACAGAAGCACCGAGATGGAACGACTTGCTCTCCTCGTTTGAGAAAGCCTACGGCCACAAACCTAGTTTTGTTGCGCGTTCTCCAGGAAGAGTAAACATCCTCGGCGAGCACATCGATTATTCGCTATACTCAGTCTTGCCCATGGCCATCACAGCGGATGCCATCATGGCCGTATCGTCAGCTCCCCTTGCAGAGGGGGCCTCTACACTGAAAGTGAGGATTGGGAACGTGGAAGAGTCCAAGTTTGCCGCAAGCGAGTTTGACGTGCCTGTCGATGCCGACGTCGACATTGATGCCTCAAAGTTTGAGTGGACCAATTACTTCAAGAGTGGACTTCGTGGTGCCATGAAGCTGCTTCGGAAAAAGCGTGGTCAAGATTTCAAGGGCGTCAACATGGAAAT